CTCAAATCACCTCCCTGTCCTCCATGTGCCTTAGCATAGCTTCCAGGAGGATCTGTTCCATGATCTTCCCAGGCACAAACATGAGACTGACTGGCCTGTAGTTCCCTGGGTCTTCCTTGTTTCCCTTTTTAAAAATGGGGGTTATGTTTCCTCTTTTCCAGTCAGTGGGAACCTCACCGGACTGCCACAATTTCTCAAATAAATTCTGTTGATCTAACTTCTGAATCGATATATTAAAATTCTCTATTAAGGCTGTGTAGGGAAAACTGATGAGAATTAAGTCTCTTCTGTCAGTGTGGCCTTTTTGAGTTTCTCTAGAATCCACTCTATTTTTGTAAAAACACGTATATTTCTGATTTCATAAGGAGTGTTTCTCATTCCTTATTCAAGGAAGATTATTCCTAGGACAGGCATTACACATGTTGCATCCTTTTTATTGCTTAAACTAACCAAACACTCATTACAGTTTTTATGATGGTTAATGGTACAAAAATCTTATTTGGTTCTGGGAGAGGAAAAAGAGGCTGAACTGAATGTGCTTGTGACTTAGAAAAGCAAGGCTCCAAAATAAGATGCGATGGTCCTGGTTGCTACATGATGTTCTTCAAGATTAGTCTTGATGGCAGCAGACTACTGCACCATCATGCTGGAAAGCAAGGACAGGCAGTGCTTATAAAATAACTCTTGTTACTTCACATTTGGTTGAATTGTTCAGTTCAATCAAAAGCAAGCATAGACCCTGAGAGAAACCAGTGATTCATGACAGGAATTTACTGTGAGCTGTTGAAAAATGCTTGAATAAAAAGAAAATGTTGCTATTAGATTCCTTGAAATTTATAATAACTGAAGTCAAACTGGGTGTCACTAGGGATGTTGTCATCATTTGTTTGCGGAGAATATCTCCTTCCAGTCTTGCAGCTGCATGTTTACATCATGAACACATGAACCATAATCTAAGCTGGATAATAAACCAAAATCTTTGCTGTACATATCTGTTTAAATGTGGATACTCCTGAATTTTCAATAAATGGGAGCTTAACAAGCTGTTAGCAGATCTTTCTAATGGATCATTGAGTGTTACAGTATTCTTGACAAAAACCAGTGCTTTGTTTCTCATTTGAATGAGGTAGCAATGTGCTTTATTCTGAGAGCTAGTTACGTGATGTCTTTACATGTACATGTAAAGATTTAAATTGCAGTAGCATAGAAAGAATGAAGAAATATCAGATTCTTGAGAAAGTTATATGATAATACTGTATATATGCTTTTTTCTTTCCTGGATCTGCAATGTAGGTTCAATGCTTGATATAATAAAGTATATTGTCAACAGAGGAGAGCACAAAAATGGTGTCCTTGAAGAACCCATAATAGCAACAATTCTTAAAGAAGTTTTGGAGGGCTTAGACTATCTACACAGGAATGGGCAAATTCACAGGTAGGAGCATATACACAGGGAAAAGCATTTTCAAAGTTGTGTGTATAGTTTGTTGATACCAGTCAGCTGCAGTTGCTTGGCTAAGCAAATTGTATTTCCTTTTTCACATACTGTATATGTGAGCAGTAATTATCAAGTGATAATGCTTAGGCAGATGCTGTAATCTTGACTGCAGTTTGTCACTAGTACTTAGTACTTGCCTGGTCTTGATCCTGTCTGTCTCTCTTATAGTTAGGATTGGTCTGTGCTGCACTAAGTATGCCGGAACGGTGGTCTATACCCCTGTGCCTGCTGGTAGTCCAAATATCTAATCTGAATCTAGTTTATGTTACATGGTCTGTGACTTGGTTATTGTGTTGCCCAGTAAACCTGTAATCTTGGGCACTCGGGCACTGCTGTATAAATGTGAAATTTATTTTTTCCTAGTAATCAGTAGTCTATTGCAACTCTACAGACCTCCCTTTATGACCACATGTGAAGCTGGGATTGGTACTATGGAACTGCATCTTGGTGTATATGCATCTAGTGATTGTTCTCTTCCATATATTCTCTCTCCATGACTTCCTCAGTGTAAATTTTGCAGATCTCCTGGGGGGATCTATACATATCTGCTGTAGCAATCCACAGGTTGCTTCCACTGTTTGGATGTTGGAAGTGCTGTACTCTGACCTCCCTAATTAATTTTCCTGAGGTGAATTTGCCTTTTAAGTAAGGTGCCTACAACAGGCTCTCCGTCTGTTTCAAGCATTAGCCTTTTATAAGGGAATCTTTTAAACAAAAACAGATTCTCTGCAGACAGAACTCTGAGAACGGAGGTAGTGCAGATGCAGCACAGTAATTGTTCTTTATGTGTACTTCTTATGTCTCATCTTATAAATGAACTGCCTCTGATGTAAATCAAGAACTATTTCCTCCTTTTGCAGAGAGAAAATTGAGATAAATGGAGAAATAAAGAACAATTATCTTGACTTCTGCTCTGGAATGCCAAAGATCTGCCACAAACCTTAATTCATAGTCTTCTGTTAAGCTGGTGTTGTTGCAGAAGGAACATTCATTAGCTTTTAAGGATAACAGGACCCTCTGAGGTCGGCTTTGGGAATTCCCCTTGTCTATTCTTAAAGGACCTTAAAAAGATAAAGAGAGAGATCTATTTGTTACATCTGAGATATCTCCTTTTTTATAACATCTAATTTGTAAACTGCGCAGTACCACAGAAGTCCTGTTCAAGATGATACAGTGTGCGTTCCTTTTCCCATGTACGTTGTAGTTGAAAGCTGTGGTAGTTCAGGGAACGCTGTATCAAGTGGTATTTGCCAGTTGGTGATGTTTCCAAAATTGTTCAGGGATTTTGTTCTGTCATTTCAATGCATTCTTGTTTATGTATAAGGGAACAGGTTATGTTACCTTTCGGTAGCAATGTGTTAATTATTTTCAGTAAATCTTGGAAAGATTGATTTGCTCAAATTCTTAATGTTTATGATATATTCTGTATGAAAGATTTATCCTGTGCATTAAGAATGGGATGCACATTTCTATTAAAAAGAAAAAAAAAAAACAGCCAGAAAGGTTTCTTCTTAACATTATGTGTGAATAGTGTGTTAAATGGATCTAGTTGACTGTTAAGCACATGCTGAATTTTTGACAGATTCAGTGTCAAGTAACTTTTCATCATAGTACCCTATAGCAAAATATGGTTGCTATTCCTGAGCTTTAATCGCTTCAATGGGTAGAAATCTACAGTATATTTACCTTCCTTGAAGATGGGTCTCTAATCTGAAGAGATCAAAGGGGAAAACTTTTTCTTCAACTTCTCTTTTTCATTAGTTGTGCAGTTGGATGTGAGAAAGCATTAATTCTTGCTTTAAAGCTCTGAAACCTCTCAGTTTGTGAGATTATATTTATTAAAGGCGGTAAAACAGACTTTGGACCTAAATATTTCTGTTCTCAAAATCTATCCCTGAATTCTGCTCATTTTATGCCAAAGCTGGATTTGGGTCTTTTTATACGAGAGAGAGAGAGTTTGTTCTGCGCTCTGTTTTATTATAAATCAGTTACGTTTTATACTTCAGTTCCTGTTTGTCTTTTAAATTTTAAAATGCTATCTTGCAAAACTAATCAGTATGCGATATTTATTTATTTACATAAAATGTGCACATGTACTTTCATACATAAAAGTAACCTCTATTTGTACATTCTAGAGATTTGAAGGCTGGCAACATTCTTCTGGGTGAAGATGGCTCTGTACAAATAGCAGGTAATGGTGGTGGTAGAGTAATGGCTAAATGAAAGAGGTAATTGCAGCTGGATTAGGGGCAACAGATAAAAGTTTTTCTGTTGGCTTTTAACTATTCCTTTTGGAGTGCTGTAGCTGCAAGTTACCCAGTCTCAGATTTCAGGATTCTTGGTTATTGATGCATGATTTAGCAATTACTCAATATTTTTCTGTGTCCCATCAAATATATAAGGAAACTTTTTAATGTCCTCTTAATGTTTCCTTTTTAAGTACCCACGTACCTTAAACAGCTTGCGAACGGTAGCAACTCATATTTCTGTTTAAGTTTATTTCATTTATTTCTGCAAGTAATTGTAATAGTTCTGGGGGATTCAAAAATCTGTATTTACTGCCCTTCATGAGGACCTTGGCTGTAACTTAACTAGTCACTGAGATGCATGAGATATCTCACTGAGAATTATTTTTGGCATTTCTACCATTTGTCTTGCAATGGTATCGGTTGGATACAGTTTAGCATCTTAAATATCCTCTGAATGTATCTATATGCTTCCTGAGTGGTAGTCCTTAAGAATTGAATGGTTTGGTTTTCATAAGAGCTTAAGTACTGAGCAAGACCCCATATCCTATCTCTCAAGTTAGTATCAGATATCTGGAAAACAGAGCGAGCAGGTGCTGGTACCTGCTGCCTCACCCAGTGTACTCCCAGGCCTTTCACAGTTTATATATAGCTCGTGACCCAGCGATGAAAGCTTTTTGTTTAGTAGCCCTCAGTAATAAAAATGGCTATAGCCAAAAGTTCTTTTTATATAAACAATGCTTTCAAAATACCATGTAAACATGTATTTTGAGGGCTTTAATATGCCAGTGTCTGAAGTCTATGAAACTGGACAGGAAAAGATTTGCTAGCAGGTGAACCATTTACTAATTGGAACAGTTTTAAGTCTTCTGTTTTGAGTTCAAGAGTTTTTAAGTACGTAGTCAATTTTACAGACTTGAATTTTAATAAGATACTTAATATTTATTTATTCACTTGATTATACCCTACAGTTGTCTTCAGTTTGTTTAGCACTTTGGGCAACTGCTGAGTTTCTAGGTCTGTGTTGTTCAAGTATTTTTTAGATCTTCTCATATTGTAAAGGAGTAGATGTTCAGACAACCAATTTAATTAAAAAGAATAATAATAACTAAAAAGTTGAAAGATAAAAATCTCATGAGCCATCTGAAATAAAGCTGTTGACTTCAGATTATTACTTTCACACATAATCAAATCTACTTTCCCAGTAATCAGATAACATTCAAACAACAGCTTCATTTATCCCTTTCTAGTTCAGCTCCAGGGCTTGGTTTCTTGACCTTTTCCTCCTTTTTGCTGTAGGCATCTTAATGAGTAAGGCTTTAATTGTGCCGCTAGGGCATTCAGTGCATGCAGGACTGAGGAAATTCAGTGGCTGGATAGATATGTGGAATGTGTCTTTCTGTGATGCATTATTTCAATGCCAGGTTATTTCCGATCTCCAGGTGAAGGGTGCAGCAGTGTCAAACTTGTTTCTTTGTTGGTGTGGGGCTGTTCTGTTTGGGACAGCTGAACATTGCACTTTAACTGAAAGTCAATTTTGAATGTCAAAGAGGCTGAAATTCATGCTTTTTACATCTTTTTGCCTTGAAAAAGAAAAATCTCCTTTCATCTTTGGAGAACAGCTACCTGATAATTTTGCTGCTTTTTATTTGCTAGAAGAACTTAGTTCTTTTGACTGCTTGTTCTCCTGCACCCCAAGCTTCTATAAAGAAAAGATGTATCCATAGTGCACACTGCTAATATGTATGAGGAGTATTTGAAGATGCAGTTGTCCATTAGCATTTCTGGGTTCTAAGGGGCAATGGCTCACAAATGAAACACAACCCAGTGTTTCTCTGATGAAAGATTTTGTGCAGATACAGAAGAGCATGGATTCTTCCAAGAATTGGGATAGCTCTACAGACACTTCTCATTAAGGACCTCTGAGGCTCTGCACAGAGAATCTGCTCGGCCTTTGGTGGGAAAGAGGAAAATATACATCTTTTTGTTTTGTTTAAATTGGGGAGACTTATTTTTAAAGTACAAAATTCCTCTGTACAGAGCAGGAAACTTTCAACTTATTCACAAATACAATATTAAATAGTCACTGCAGTTCCTCAGCTCCAACATTCTACTTAAAACTATTGGGATTGTGTCATGGTTTAACCTCAACTGGCAACTGAGCACCACACAAGCCGCTTGCTTACTTTTCCCCCCTCCCCACCCCCGTGGGATGGCGGAGAGAATCAGAAGAGTAAAAGTGAGCAAACTAATGGGTTGAGATAAAAACAGTTTAATAATTGAAATAAAGTAAAATAGTAATAATAACAACAATAATAAAAGAATATACAAAGCAAGTGATGCACAATGCAATTGCTCACCACCTGCCAACCGATGCCCAGCCAGTCCCTGAGCAGCGGCCCCCCCCGACCAGCTTTCCCCCAATTTATATACTGAGCATGATGTCCCATGGTATGGAATGTCCCTTTGGCCAGTTTGGGTCAGCT